ACGTTCGCTTCTGTTAGCATAGAGTGCAGAATGAAATTTGTTGATAAAAATTTGTTCTGTTTCTTTTATAGTTAAAACTAATTGATATGCGCATTTGTATTTGGGCCACGCTAGCTGCTGTCATTCAAACTTTTATTCAACATTAAGCTTTGATTTGGTGGATTTGTGCAAAAAATTGTTTACATGAGAACATGAGAAGTACAGCATAAAAACAACATCAGCCAAATTTAATTCACTTTAAACATTCCTTTAACACTCAGCTCTACAATTTGTTTTTTCTAAACTTTCATAAATCAAAAAAAAAAAAAAAAAAAAAAAAAAACTAAAAAAAAAAAAAATTACAAAAGAAAAAAAAAAAAAGCAGTTTTCAAACAAAACAAAAATCAGAAGAATAATATTAGAAAAAAAAAAGATAACAAATAATAATATCAAAACACATGCTCTTTACGCGAATTTTGTGATGTTAAAGTAATAAAAAAAAAATTAAAAAAAATTCAATAAAAACTGTTAGAAATGAATATGAAAGGAAATTCATGTTATCGCCAATTTTAAACGTAATATAACAGGCAAGCACCTTTTATACGTAAAGACTTTTAATTTCGCGTATTTAGCCAATAGATGATCAAAATCTGTTTTTCGCTTTTCTTTATTTATTTTTTTTTTTTTGCTTCAACTTGCATCAACAAACAAATTTGTTCTTATTCTTTTTTGTTTATTATTTTTATAATCTTATTAGGTGCTTGCATGTATTTTGATCTATCGATCAAAAAAGTAATGCAAAGTGTATACGTACACAACGATTAAACGCGATGGTCAAAATCATTTCTTTAAAAAAAAAAAAACAGTTTTCCATTTACTGTTATTGAGTTGTTGAATGTATGCAGACGCTAATCATGATCAAAATGATCAAAATTGCATTTTTGATATTCATTACTCTTGTTGTTTGATTAGAAGAAATCTTTTGCCGAAGCCTGTAAAACACTTTAAAGGTCTATGGGGATAGCACTTGATCATGTCTCAATCGTTAATTTTGGCTTCAACTGTTCAAAAGTGATGATTTTAAGATCAATGACAAGGAACGGCCTTTAGGTCCAAGAAAGTTCTTAGACAACGACTTCCAAGATTTGTTGGACAAAAACACACCTCAAACTCTCAAAAAACCTTCGAACTTAGCTTAAGAGTCGATAAAGCAACTGTTTCAAGAGGATGATAAAGCAACTGCTCCAACATTGCGGTGCTTACCAGGCAAAAAAAGGAAGAGTCACAAGTGAATCTATCATGGCAATGCCAACGACAAAACGGCATGAGTTCGTCTAGAAGAGCCATCCATATCGACACCGAAGCGAACTATTCATGGCTATAAAGTTTGACTGTGCATATAGTGGAATCAGGAAGGTGCGGTGTATTACTCGCTTGTAAAATCGAATAACACCGTTATTGCAGATGCCTGCTGATGTCAGTTGAACAAATTGAACGATGTATTGTTGCAAAAAAACAAGCAATAGCGGTTAACAAAGTCACCCTCTTCGCTTTCGCGGTACGGCACAAAATGATGGAAAATATTTTGATTGATACATGTTTTACCAATATTTCCCAATAAATTGCTTTTTCAAGTGAAAAAATGATCAGAAAATATGCAAGCATCTGCTATAATTCGAAATCAAAAAGTATATGTCCTGTGTATAATACCTAGTGTTAATATGCAAATTATTTGGATAAATAAGTGAATTGAAACTCAACAAAAAGAATAATAAATAAAAATCATCAACAAATATTATGACTTTGCATGGTTTGCATGGTTTTTAAGCTCTGAAAAGGTCATGTTGACCCATGCGGTAGATCCAGTTTTAGTCAGAAAGTAATTCGAAGTTGACTTGGCCAAGCTTGTTGTTAGCTGCTTCTGATTGCCAGCCGAGCTCTGATATATTCGAGAACACAGCTTAAGTTAATATGCATTCATAAATGACACTCATCAATTGTACAGCCGAGCAAGATGAAAGGGAACTCTAAGGCCACACCGCAGTTTAAGTCGCTAAAAAAATACCCACAAATGCCTCGAAAATAAATTTAAAAATTTTTAAATGTTTTTTATTTATTTTTTGAAGCGGTTGGAAATTCAAACAAACATTTTTTATTAGGGCCCTTAAAACTTAAACCTTAAACGAACATTGAAGTCTTAGTTTTTAACTGCACTTGTGCTGTAGGCTAAATTTTTCCTTGTTTACTCAAACAAATTTACAACTCATTAAATATTACTCAATAATTCTATAATAAAATAGAAAGTTTGTTTCCATTACGCTTATGATTTTATTGCAAGAGCCGTACGTACATACAAGAGAGAATTGAGTTTTATTGATTTTCAATAAATTTTAGTAAATGTTAAAATTCGTGCGGGCATTTGTTTCGGGTCTTTTAATGCATGAAAGGAAATTGTGTTCAATTTCTTGATACTGTTATTTTACACATTGTGCATGCTTCAGAACAATAGCAAATGCTTAGTTAGTTGGGCACACATACGGGGAAAGAGTCGTAAGTCGTATAGAAATAAATATATAATGAAAGTAAAGAAAGTGTTAACAACAGCATTACGCAAGTGTAATGCGCAAGCATTGTATGTACAAAAGGAGGGATTTAAAACAAATTGAAATTATTTTCACTATTAAGGAACGCACATCTCTCCAGCAGGAAAATGCTTTCGGTCGCATTATTGTAAATCCTAAAATAAATGCATTATTATAAATATAAAAAAACTAAAACTATATTCAATCTTTAATGTTTTATTTGAAAATTTATATCTCTTTTTTGGTTTAAATTTTTACCCTTTCTCGTACCACTCTCATGTCTATGGGCATTTATTGCGATGCATCATAGAGGAATACTTACAAGTGCTAAAAAGATATTTTTCCTTTGCTAACAATAACTACCGACCAGCTACACTCGTTTATACGTGTTTAAATATATGCACATGCCGTCAAAAAGTGAACAGACGATATGTAGTAACGAAGCAACCCTAACGAGTTAAGCAAGTGTGGGACCAGGTCAATTAACTGAAGAGCTTTGCTCTTTGCTAACAAACAACACATTCTTGGCTAAACTGAAATTTCAAATTTTTCTTCCTTCTTTTTCGTTGACAATTCTGCAAGAATTTTGAAAATTTGAAAGAAGCTAAAGAGCTATGGGGAACCAATTTCGCAATAATTATCGCGACTGAGATAATTCGGAATAATTTCCTGCGCCCAAGAAATAGGCGAAAAGTCTGAAACTAACCGGCAATAGCTTCAGTAAAACTCGGCTATAACCTATCCATCTGCCAATCGGCTGATCTGATATGAAGCGCTCTTCCATGCATGAGAAGAGCTAACGCAAATATTGACTTCACTAACCGGCGCGTGATCTCTGCCTTCCTGCTTACCTTTATCAAGTTTTACACAGTTTACCAATAGGCCTGTTGCTCCTTACCTAATGCACTCGCGTGACTAACATCTTAAATTGTGAAGCATGGAATTCATTTATAGAATTCATAGGGGAATTTTTTGGAATTTGCCGGAAATGTATGCAAAAACCGGCCTCTATGTGAATGCAACGCTGTGTTGCAACCCAATTCAATCCAATCGATGAAGAACTTTCGGACAGATTTTAAACAAACGCCCATTCATGCTTTTATTTTTAAACATTCAGTAGCGTGCTAGTAGTGCGCTAGTAGTGTTAGGATTAAGTAACCCATCAGTTATTTGTGGCGGTAATTAAATAAGTAAAATAGCAATAGCAGTGTATATAACGTACGCATTAGTCGACTTAATGTGTTAGTTGCACAAATATATCAACAAATCTGCCATTTATCCAATCCATCAAAAGGAAGACATTTTGGCAACAAAGAAAGGCAGATCCAAGCTAAGCTTTATAAAAATATTTCGTATAGATCTGTGTAAAGAAACTTCGGCTTAATCAACCAAACTAAGTTATCCCAAGAAACTTTGAAGAAAGTAAATTTTTCTTACAAAACCGGCCAAAAATCGAACACCTCTGGTCCTCGGGCTAAATTTATTACGTCCGTCATATAACATTAATGATGGAATATGCGTAGATAGGAAACATATTTATTTTAAGGTAATAACTAACTGTGGCAACTTCACATTTGTTTGATTAATGTAATATTAATAAGAGAATCGCAATTACTTGCGGAACTTCAACGTATGGGGTTTCCTTTACATTGCCTTTTCTTTTGAATGGGCT